ATTGTAGAGACTTTTCACTTTTTTGGTTAATTCTTTTTTTTTTTTTTGAGACGGAGTCTCGCTCTGTCGCCTGGGCTGGAGTGCAGTGGCGCGATCTCGGCTCACCGCAAGCTCTGCCTCCTGGGTTCCCGCCATTCTCCTGCCTCAGCCTCCCGAGTAGCTGGGACTACAGGCTCCCGCCACCTTGTCCGGCTAATTTTTTTGTATTTTTTTTTTAGTAGAGACGGGGTTTCACCATGTTAGCCAGGATGTTCTGCATCTCCTGACCTTGTGATCCACCCGTCTCGGCCTCCCAAAGTGCTGGGATTACAGGCTTGAGCCACCGCGCCCGGCCTCTTCACATTCTTAATGCAGAGCTTCAGTGGGTTAGAATTTGGCCTTCACATCTGCATCAGGGGTACTGTCTTAGTGTGCTTGGGCTGCTGCCGCAGAGTCGCACGGTCTGGGTGGCTTAGCAGAAATGCATTGCGTCACAGCTCAGGAGACCAGGCCCAGGCATCCACAACGTGGGCCTCTGGGTCCTTATGGGGCCTTCCTGCATTCCTCCTGTCTGTGACCAAATCTTCTCTTATAAAGACACCAGTCAGTTGGATTAGGGCCCACCCTGAAGACCTCATTTTAACTGAACTACCTTACCAACTTTGAAGACCTTATCCTCACATGGTTATATTGTAAGGTACTGGATTTTAGGACTTCAACAGGTAGATTTTTGTGGGACACAGTTCAGCCCATAACAGGTACTGAGGTCAAATGGTCACAGGTCAGATCCCTACTTACGTCAGGTGACACTTTTGCCACTGTTGGATGTGCTGATTGACCGGTCATCTTCCAAGTGAACACAGGTTAGAGAGTTAGTCCGTGATGGAATGCGAGAGACATTGCTACTTGGCAGTCTCCATTTAGACGAGTCTTACTGTACAGCAGGTTCCCCGGGAGAAGAGCTTGGAGCAGGTGTTGGAGGCAGTTCCTCTTTTACTCTGTGTGGATGTTATTTGTATAATTATGTGAAGTTACTGTATTGCAAGGACAGAGTGTGAGAGAGGGAGAGAGTGATTGTGTGTGTGTGTGTAGTTTTATATAGAAAACCAAGTGGAAGAGAAGAAAGCTTCTATTTAGTTGGCTTACTTTCCACTTAGCAAAGAGTAATGATTTTTATATACTAATCTTGGAACTGTTTAACAAGACAACAGAAATTGGTAAAGTTAAGAAACCAGAGACTAAAGATTTTCTTCTTTTATTGATTTCTTTTATTTATTTATTTATTTTTGAGATGGAGTTTCACTCTCGCTGCCCAGGCTGGAGTGCAATGGTGCAGTCTTGGCTCACCGAAATCTCTGCCTGCTAGTTCAAGCGATTCTCCTGCCTCAGCCTCCAAGGTAGCTGGGATTACAGGCGTGCACCACCACGCCTGGCTAATTTTGTATTTTTTTAGTAGAGACAAGATTTCTCCACGTTGGTCATGCTGGTCTCAAACTCCCAACCTCAGGTGATCCGCCTGCCCCGGCCTCCCAAAATGCTGGGATTACAGGTGTGAGCCATCGCACCCAGCCTCTTTTATTGATTTCCGAGATGACTACCAAATAAATGAACAAGATGAAGAGTGATAACTTCAAACAAACCTTGTTTTTGTGTTATCAAAATGTAGTAATAGTCCCTTTTTAACCACTGTGTGCCGTGCCTTGTTTGAGGTGACTGACGAGTGGTCTCATTTAATCCTCAGCAGAGCTCCTCTGGCCGAACTCTTCCCATTTTCCCACTGCCCATGTCCCCGCGGCACAGGAAGGTTAAATCGTCTCCCCAGGTGTAGTCAGCTGGTCAGTGATGAAACTGAGATGGGGACCGGGCAGTGAGGTTCCCAGCACCCTGCCCACTCACCGTGCCATCTGCTCAGAAATGTCATTACCCTTCCTCAGTGACTTGACATTATTATATGAGTTTCAGGAGGTTTTTTATTTTTAGGCTTTTGATAGCAAAATAAGCAGATGTGTTAATGGCACACATCAATTCCCAATGATTTCTTAACGATCAATATAAAAGCAATTTGGAAAATGGTTTGCTGAAGTAAAGAGGATCCTCTGAGTATAAGAATTTTAGTCATCTATATTAAAAGGTTCTTTTTTCGCTTAAGTGTAATTCAGTTATCTCATCATTTTATGAGAACAAAATGGATTTTTCATTTACATTAAAGCGAAGATAAAAGAGCTGAATTAACACTGAGCGTGCAGTGTAAAGTCTGCCGCAGCCAGATTCCTGACTCGCGTCTGCCACTGTCAGCTCTGTGCTCTGAACACGTTGACCCTCAAAGCTGACTTTCCTCGTCCATGAATGTGGGTCATGTTTGTGCCTTTCCTCCCAGGAGTTATGGGGAGGATAGAATGAGAGGGTGCCTGGCAGGTGCCTTGTGTAATACTCGCTCATGGGGAGCCACCTATAAATTTTAGCTTCTCCTGGCATTTGGTCGAACAGTGAGTTGATCTTGGTGAAGTTTTGGTTTCTTTTTCTCTATGGATTTTGGCTGTCTGGGAGAAAGTGGGGGCTGTAGAATGCAGCAAAGCTGGGTGCGGTGGAGCCAGCTCCCTCTCTCCTTAGCTTTGTGTCCTTGGGGCAAGTTCATCACCTCTTCTGATCCCCAGTTTCCTCGCGTGGAAAATCACACCCACCCCATGGAGGTGTCATGAGGGTTCAGCTTCATCACATCTGTCCCGTGCTGGGTTTCCCTGAGACTCGTTATGTAGAGGCACAGGTACAGAAGAGTCGTGTGATATTGTTTTATTAAACATAAAATTACCTAAAAACACCAATTTATTAAGCTCTAGAGCCCATTTTGCATGTATTCACCTAAAAATATGGTAACTGAATTTTTTTCTTCCCTTCATAGGTGCTGGAGATCAGAATTTATTTACCTCTGTTTATCCAACGCTCTCTCAGCAGCTTCCAAGAGAACCGATGGAATGGAGAAGGTATGTTGTGTATTTTTTGACTGTATCCCTCTTTTCATTTTTTAAAATGAAGTACATGTTTTTAAATAAGTGTATGTTGTTTAAACATTTATGTGAACAAGTGAAGTAGCACAGGTTAAAAGCCTCAGTTCTAAAGAAATAGTGACCTTATATAATTTATGGGTCTTATTCTTTATGGAATACGATAGTTTTCTTTTTTTCTTTTTTTTTTTTCTTTTTTTTTTGAGACAGAGTCTTGTTCTGTCGCCCAGGCTGGAGTGCAGTAGTGTGATCTTGGCTCACTGCAACCTCCGCCTCCCGGGTTCAAGCAGTTCTCCTGCCTCAGCCTCCTGAGTAGCTGGGATTACAGGTGTGCGCTACCGTACCTGGCTAATTTTTGTATTTTTAGTAGAGACAAGTTTTGCCATGTTGGCTGGACTGGTGTCGAACTCTGGACCTCAACTGAACCGCCCTCCTCAGCCTCCCAAGGTGCTGGGATTATAGGCGTGAGCCACTGTGCCCAGACTACAATGGTCTTCTTAACGAGACATTGGAAAGTAGAAACAAGACAATTATTTTGAGTTAAAGACTCACTTTTATAGGAATGATCTGTGATTCTTCATAGTTAACCAGAACGTCTTAAAGGCACAGGCATTTTGCAAAGGTGACATGTCCTCACTTAGACTCTACTTTAAAGCAGAAGAGGCTGGGCGCGGTGGCTCAAGCCTGTAATCCCAGCACTTTGGGAGGCCGAGGTGGGCGGATCACAGGGTCAGGAGATCGAGACCATCCTGGCTAACACGGTAAAACCCTGTCTGTACTAAAAATACAAAAAATTAGCCGGGCGTTGTGGTGGGCGCCTGTAGTCCCAGCTACTCGGGAGGTTGAGGCAGGAGAATGGCGTAAACCCAGGAGGCAGAGCTTGCAGTGAGCTGAGATTGTGCCACTGCACTCCAGCCTGGGCAACAGAGCAAGACTCCGTCTCAAAAAAAAAAAAAAAAAAAAAGGCAGAAGAACTGGGCTGTATCAGCCATCTTACAAGACCCTCCCTCCACCCTGGCTCCTGTGCGTTTTCCTTAAGGACAAGAAGGTAAACAGAAAGATGGTGTTTAAAACTTAAACAGCGAGGTTAGATCAGCCATCACAGGCTCTGTTGCATGTTTATAGTTAGTCGTCTGGTGACATACTCATAGGAAATCACGGGCTGGGAATCCTCTTTTTGGAAAACTTATTTCTGGTAAGACCAGATGTTATTTGTAAAAAATGGTTGGATTTTATCTTGTAACATAGGTAATCTAATTTTAACCAGGGTATACAGAATTTCGTGTTATTTGTGTTTATGTAATTCTGATTCTCACAGCATTATTCCTTTCTGACCACCAGTTTGTGCCTTAGTAACATGAGGGATTAAGGTGGCTTTCTGAAGATGACTTACCAGGTGAATACAGTCTAATTTCTGTGCTGATTATAGTGTCTCACAAGATATGCATTTAGTTGCTAATATTTAATAGAAAGAGTGTACAGAGTGTAAGAGAAAAACTGCTTAACATGTGAGGAGGCCCAGTGCTGTGAAAGAGAGAAAACAGTTTAGCAAATGGAGTAATCTGTAAGTAATCTGTAAGTATTCTGATAGATAAAGGGAAAAAAAAAGTGTGTCCATGAAACAAGATAATTTTGAGAGAAAAGTTAAATAGAGAAATTATGTAGGCCCGGTGGTGGCTCACGCCTGTCATCCAAACACTTTAGGAGGATCAGGTGGGAGGATCGCTTGAGCCCAGGAGTTCAAGACCAGCCTGAGCAACATAGTGAAACCCTGTCTCTATAAAGAAGAAACCAGATTAGCTGGACGTGGTGGTGCACGCCTGTAGTCCTAGCCACTTGGGAGGCTGAGGTGAGAGGATCACTTGAGCCTGGGAGCTGGAGACTACAGTGAGCTAAGATTGCACCACTGCACTCCAGCCGGGGTGACAGAGCAGGACTCTGGCTCAAAAATAAACAAATAAAAAGAAACTGTGTAGATTTAATATTTATATTCATCGCTTCCCCTTTCTGAAGCTCCACTAAATGGACTACGTAAATACTAAACAAATAAATGGACTAAAAAAAATTGACCAAACAAAAGCTAAACAAATAACCCTACATAAAGAACTAAAAAGGTGGACGTGCATAAAGACAGAGAAAGGAGGAGGCAGCGGAGGCAGGGGGATGTGGCTGTGTTTTTGGAAGAGAAACAGGTGGAGGAATTGGGAGAGAAAGCTGAGGAAGTTTATGTCTTGTGGCTCCGTGAGAGGAGGGGAATTTCTGACAAGGGACAAAGTGCCAGATCTTGGAAGGCCTGGGTGAAAGCAGGGCTGGGGATGGGAGTTGGCAGAGGTGTGGACAGGGGCAGTTAGACTCAGGGTCCCCACTCCTGTCTGTAGTGAAGTGATTGCTGTCATTACCCACCCCTCCACCCCTTAGGAACCTGGAAAGTCTTTCTTTGAACAGAAGAGCTCCAGACCGTTGGATCTGAAGCATTGCAGAAGGCAAGGGAGAAGGGCTGTTGTAAAACCAACCGGCCTAGGTTCTGAACAGGGCACAGGTCCGCTCTGGGAACCCTGCAGCCAGATCCATGCTTCCTGGGCAAGAGAATAGAGAACTTATCTCAGGAAAATTGTACGGCCCAGGGAAAAGACTACATTTTTCAGAAACGACCTTGAAATTTAGGAAAGAAATGTGTTACCTTAGGGAAGATATGTCCACCTGAAACCTCAGGATGTGGCTTTATTGGAATAAGGGTCTTCGCAGATATAGTTAAGCTAAGGACCTCAATGTGAGATCATTTTCAATTAGGGTAGACCCTAAATCCAATGACAAGTGTCCTTATAAGAGGCAGAAGAGAAGACAGGGGGAGAAGACCTTGTGAAGATTGAGGTAGAGATTAGAGTGATGAGGCCATGAACCAAAGAATGCTGAGGATGGCAGCAGCCTCCAGAAGCTAGGAGAAAGGCAAGCAACCTCCCACTGCAGCTAGAGGGAACTAAGTCCACCCGCACCTTGATTTCAACTTTCGGGACTCATGAAATATGCAAGAGTAAGCTAAGCCTCCAGGTTTGTGGTAGTTTGTGACAGCAGCCCTGAAACTCATGCAGGAGGGCAGGTTGAGAAGGATGGGGTAGGTACTTGCTATAGTTTGAATGTGTCCCCCAAAGATTCTTGCCATGGAAACTTAATTTCTGCCCTCGTGAGTGGATTAATGTTGCTGTCACGGGAGTGGCTCCTTATCATGTGGGTGGCTTTGTTATCAAAGTGAGCTCTCTTTGGCTCTCTGGCTCTGACCCTGTCACCGTGTGATGCCCTCTGCCATGTTTTGACATAGCAAGAAGGCCCTCACCAGATGTTGGCACCTTGATCTTGGACTTCGCAGCCTCCAGAACTGTGAGCGCAATAACCTTCTGTTGCTTGTAATTAACCCAGCCTGTGATATTCTGTTAGAGCAGTGGGAAACAGACCAAGACATGGATGTGTGTGTATTGGTGGGCAGTGAGGGGGAAGAGAGGGAGAGAGAGAAAAGCTTTTCAGTACTCTTCGTATTGAAGTACTTATCTCAGCCCAGCACAGTGGCTCATACCTGTAATCCCAGCACTTTGGGAGGCCAAGGTGGTTAGATCACCTGAGGTTAGGAGTTTGAGACCAGCCTGGCCAACATGGTGAAACCCTGTCTCTTCTAAAAATACAAAATTAGCCGGGCATGGTGGCACACATCTGTAATCCCAACTACCTGGAGGCTGAGGCAAGAGAATTGCTTGATCGTGAGATGAGGAGATTGCAGTGAGCCGAGATCGCGCCATTGCACTCCAGCCTGGGTGACAAGAGCAAAACTCTGGCTCAAAAAATAAAATAAAACAAAATAAAATAATTACTTTGATAAAAAGTAGAAATTTGAAATTAATTGATTGGATCTAGGAAATGAAAACAATTGAAACAGAGTTTCCCAGATGCACTGAACAGCTGTGTAGCTGAAAATCAAATCAGTGTGCTGGAAGAACCGAGCTTAGAGACTCCGGATACCATTGCTAAAAGCAGGAGCAGGAGAGCACGGAGAAAAAGCTGGCTCCAGAGGATAAATCCAGGAGCTCCAGGATCCACCTGAGGGGCTTTTCAGAAGGAAAGTGGAGGGAACAGAGGACAGGTGACATTTGAAGAAGGGCTGTCAAGATTCTCCCAGAAGGGAGTCGGGATACTGCTGCAGGAGCCTAGTGAATGTCAAGCAGAATGAAGAAAACAAAGCAAACAGAAAATCATGCCAGGGCATCAGAGAGAAACGGAAGAAGAACCAAGTATGCAGTTTCTAACAGAACCACTTACAATGCAATATAAAATACATTTATGACGGTGGGCGCCTGTAGTCCCAGCTACTTGGGAGGCTGAGGCAGGAGAATGGCGGGAACCCGGGACACGGAGCTTGCAGTGAGCCGAGATCGCGCCACTGCACTCCAGCCTGGGCGACTGAGCGAGACTCCGTCTCAAAAAAAAAAAAATACATTTACGAGCAGCCTCCCCACAGTCCTGAGGGAAAGTACCCCAGACCCTAGAATTCTTTATCATTCACAGTGTGGTCAAGAGGGAAGACTGTGTCACAGCTTCCCACCCTGAGGGCGTTGCGTGAGCCCAGGATGGCCAGGAGTTCTGCTCCACCACTTCTGTGTGCAGAAAACCATTCGTGTCTACCCCAGAGTCCCATTCAGATAACATGTTTATTGCTTGTCATGCTATGGAGATAGGTGCACTGAAGTGAATAAAAATATTTTCAGACATCTATAAGATCAGAAGCCTTGCCACCCTGAGTAAGTAAAGGATGCATCCCAATATGAAGGCAAATGAACCCAGGGATCCAGGGTGATAGCAGCGTCTGCCAGCAACATGACATGTTTTGCTGAAGTTAAGGTGTCACTTTTTAAAAAAATTAAAAATCTAAAATTTCAGATGTGTGTGAAGGAGAACAGAGAGAAGGGGGGATAGACTTTAATTTTAGTCTTTGTAGTAAAACCTTAAGTTACATACTAAGAATTAAAATGTAACCAAAGGTAGAATAGAAATAGATGATAAGACTTTCAAACCAGCAGAGAGAAAAGATGGAAAAAGAAAACTTGATTAATCTCCCAAAGGACAGGGAAAAATAGAGCCGGCAAATAGAAAATGCACATACTTGAGCATCAGCATAGTCACGTTAATGATGGTTGGTTTTAAGTTATTAAACACAGCATCCTTAGATTGGATGAAAAACAAAATTCAGCTGTAACATTCAGAAGAGATGCAGCTGCTAGAAGCGAGAAGTACAGGCATGGCACAGAGATCCATGCGGTGTGGTTCACTGTTAGAAGCATTGTTGGGCCGTCACCGAGAGCCTTGGATGAGATGCAGGGAGCGTGTGGGATTTCTTGATGGGTTCCTTCTTCTTGGGTTGAGAATAAAATAGAGGTTTGTACTGCTATTTTATTTGTGCTCTGCAAACAAGAATCTCTTATCTTTTCACCAAATAACTTTGTTTCTTGGATAAAATACAAGGTGTTGCAAAAATACGAATGCAACCCTAAAACTTTCGTAAGTTAAAACTGCACTTTGGACATTTGGGACACACTTTCCTTCTTTAATGGTGACATAATTATAGATTCCGTTACACTGAAACCCGCTGTTGAGTCTGTAGTGGCCCTGGTTAAATGCAATACTTGGAAGAATGTATTACTGTGCCTGTATCCTTGAGGAAAATGAAAGATTTTGTGGAAATGGAACTTTGACCTGTACATGTGAACTGTGTTTAAAATAATTCATAGAATGTTTTTGAGCAGAATAGTACAGTTATGATTTGTGGTTAATATATGTGCTCTGAACTCATGGCTATGATTACATTGTTTGTTGTTCTGTTTCCCCTCTTCTGATGAATGCTGTTTAGTTGTTTTCTCAGTGACTTCAAACAATTGTTTACAGGTCCTATGGCCGGGCACCGAAGATGATTCACCTAGAGTCTAACTTTGTTCAATTCAAAGAGGAGCTGCTGCCCAAAGAAGGAAACAAAGCTCTGCTCACGTTTCCCTTCCTCCATATTTACTGGACAGAGTGCTGTGTGAGTACCAGTGAGGGGAAGAGGACGCGCGGTGGGATAGGGTTGAAAATGTATGAGTCTAGGCTTTGTTGAGGCAGCTGTAATTTTTCAAATTTACCTTTTAACATACTCTGTTGTCCCTTCATTCCTTGGCCAAGTGTGGGGCTTGCTGTTGCGTGTTTGCGCCCTCGTCTGGCGTGCTGTGCTCACCGTGGCCCCAAGCGCGGTTGTGTGCCCGTGTCTCCATTCTTGTGAGCTGTCTCACTGTGCCCCATGGCTGCCAGCCTTGGTCTGAGCTGTGTTTGATCATGACTTTCAGCTTTGTTTTCATGATCCCCATGTTCCCATCATGGTTCCGTTGTCCTTGGTCATCTGTTGTTTCTTCTGCTTGTTTGTGACCCCACTGAGGCCAGGACCATGATCTTCCTCCCTGTTGCCGTGCCTGGGCAGGAGGCGCCCTGTGACTCTCCGTGGAACGAGTGGGCCTCAGCCCTGTGGCCGCCACAGCTTTCACTTGTGTTGTCTAGTTGTGTATTCATGAATCCAGAAAGAACCTTCTCATTCTTGATACACTTCTTCTGTTGTGAACTAATAGAAGATTCTGTGAGGCATTTCTTCCTGTGTATTTTGACTCAAGTAAAGCAAGATTTAGCAGCATAGAGAGTACATAGATGATTACACACTGTGACGTCGTAGCCTAAACCTGAGGCACAGAGGTAGTTGTTAATGAGACAGAAACTGTAAGCCTGCACCTGGTTTTCCTCAGACTTCACCTCATGCACCCTTTCTCTGCTGACTTTGCTCTGCCTCCTTTCCCAGGGGCTCCACATGGACGGGGCTTGGTTCCCCAGCAGTGAGTGAGGACACATGTGAGGTGTTTTCCACCAGGGAAGCCTGCCCGGGGTTTTCACCGGGCTGCTCCACAGGCCCTCTCTGCCTGGCGTGCCCGAGAAGGACGCTGTCCCTGGCCTGCTGTGCCAGCTCTTCTCTCCATAGCCCCTGGTTGTAATGTTGGATTTGATCACTGCTTCCAGGAGTTGTCCGGTGTCTCCCTGGCGTGGGGCTGTTGTCCCCTTGCCATCAGTGATCTACCTCTGGGGAGCCACTGTGAGACCACCTGAGTGTCCCGCCCTCACCCAGTGGCAGTTCTTTCCTGAGCCAGTCTTGACTAAGGGTGCTGACCTTTCTACCCACCTCTGTCAGCCCATCCCCTAGGCTGGGGAGCGTCTGCAGGGCCTTCTGTTCAGGCAGTGGTTAAGAGTCAGTCACCTTTACTGATGCTCAGGTTGTCCCAGATTTAGCCATCAAGAGTCACTTCAGACTGGCACCTGTGTTCTTTTGAGCACTTTCTAATCATTTGTGGCATGCCAAGATGTTTTAGGTTCTGGGAGCTCGTCGCCCTTGTGCTGGAACCAGCCGCGTCTCCACAGAGCCCTGGTTCCTCTGGCAGCAGGTGTGCTTGCTGCTGTGGGGGTGTTGCTGCTTCTCCACCCTTTCAGCAGACAGAGCTGATAGGGATGTGCCTTAGAAATCATGAACTGGGCCGGGCGCGGTGGCTCACGCTTGTAATCCCCACACTTTGGGAGGCCAAGGCGGGTGGATCACAAGGTCAGGAGTTTGAGACCAGCCTGGCCAAGATGGTGAAACCCTATCTCTACTAAAAATACAAAAATTAGCCAGGCGTGGTGGCACGTGCCTATAGTCCCAGCTACTCAGGAGGCTGAAGCAGGAGAATTGCTTGAACCCGGGAGGTAGAGGTTGCAGTGAGCCGAGATCGCGCCACTTCACTCTAGCCTGGGAGAGTAGTAAGACTCTGTCTCAAAAGAAAAAAAAGAAGAAATCATGAACTGATACTGAGGCGTCCAATTTTATAACCTGGAGGGCTCTTTTTGCCTCATTTATTTCTGCTCTCACCAACATCAACACATTTCTGTATTTGCTCAGTGCTACAGCGTGCATAAGATAGTTTCAGAATTGCTACACCCACGCCACAACTAGGAACAAGCCTACTGAGAACAGCTCCAAATTTGCTTGCAACTAAACTTTTCCTTTTGGACAGTATGTATCATAGTGTTTATGAACGTCTCCCTCAGCTTCATCCTTTTCAGGGTTTTTGTAGTTACTCTTGCATTTTTAATTTAGGCATTTTTGTTGTGATCAAAGTAAGTTTATAAATTCCCATATGCAGAGCTAATATCTTGATCATGTTGAGACATACTCAAGAGCAAGGGCTGCCTTTCCGTTTGTGCAAGTCTACTTCTGTGTTTTATACTTTATTAGAGATTTTAAAAAATTCTCTCTCTTCTTTTAAGACAGGGTCTTGTTCTGTCACTCAGGTCACTGCAGCCTCAACCTCCTGGGGTCAAGTGATTCTCCTACCTCAGCCTCTTGAGTAGTTGAGATTACAGGCATGTGCCACCATGCTCAGCTAATTTTTTTGTATTTTTTGTAGAGATAGGGTTTTGCCATGTTGGACAGGCTGGTCTTGAATTCCTAGGTTCAAGGGATCCACCTGCCTCCACCTCCCAAAGCTCTGGGATTGCAGGTGTGAGCCATGGTGCCTTACAGGGTCTTGCTCTGTCACCCAGGCTGAAGTGCAGTGGTGTGATCTTGGTTCACTGCAACCTCCGCCCCTCTAGGCTGACGCCATCCTCCCACCTCAGCCTCCCAAGTAGCTGGGACCACGCCTGGCTTTTTAAATTTTTTTATTTTTTGGTATTTTTAGTAGAGGCGGGATCTTACCATGTTGCCCAGGCTGATCTCAAACTCCTGGCCCCAAGTGATCCTCCAGCCTCAGTCCCCTGAAGTGATGGGACTACAGATGTGAGCCACTGTGCCCGGCCACCGTAGTTCAATACTGAACTGTATTTGCATTCCTGGTATAAATCCCACTTAGTCATAGTATTATTTTCTTAATGTGGTATTGGAGTCTATTGCTTCAATTTTATTTAGGAGTTTTTGCATCTATAATTCACAAGTGGTTGGTCGGTAACTTGTTTTATGCTCTTTTTATGAGGTTTAGGTATTGATGTTCTACGTAATTCATTAAAAGAATTTGGAAGTTTTTACTTACTTTCTGTTTCTGAAGTAATTTATGTAGCACTGGAGCTGCTTGGTCTGTAAGGTTTGATGGAATTTTGGGAAACTAGCTGGGCCAGGTACTTTTTTGTATCTTTGATGAAAATTGGTCTGTTTCAGCCATTTGCTAATTTTGATAAACTATATTTTCTTGGAAATTATGTATTTCAGTTAGGTTGTAAAATTTATTTTCATTGAGGTGTATGAAGTGGTCTTTCTTTCCTTTTTTTTTTTTTCCCCGAGATGGAGTTTCGCTCTGCTTGCTCAGGCTGGAGTGTAGTGGTGTGATCCCGGCTCACGGCAACCTCCGCCCTTTGGGTTCAAGTGGTTCTGCTGCCTTCGCCTCCCGAGCAGCTGGGACTACAGGCGCGCCACCGCGTCCCGCTAATTTTGTAGTTTAGAGACGGGGCTTCTCCGTGATGGTCAGGCTGGTCTCAAACTCCTGACCTCAGGTGATCTGCCTGCCTCAGCCTCCCGAGTAGCTGGGACTACAGGCGCGCCACCACGCCCCGCTAATTTTGTAGTTTACAGACGGGGCTTCTCTGTGTTGGTCAGGCTGGTCTCAAACTCCTGACCTCAGGTGATCTGCCTGCCTCAGCCTCTCAAAGTTCTGGGATTATAGGTGTGAGCCATCACGCCCAGCTTTTTAGACTTTAAAAACGTTCTGTCAGCAGTTATTTTCCCATCATTATTTATTTTTTATTATTTTTATGAGATGGACTCTCGCTCTGTCACCCAGGCTGGAGTGCAGTGGTGTATTCTTGATTCACTGCAACCTCTGCCTCCCAGGTCCAAGTGATTCTTCTACCTCAGCCTCCCAGTAGCTGAGGTTACAGGTGCCTGCCACCACGCCCGGCTCATTTTTGTATTTTTAGTAGGGATGTGGTTTCAGCATGTTGGCCAGGCTGGTCTCAAACTCCTGACCTCAGGCGATCTCCCAAAGTGCTGGGATTACAGGCATGAACCACGGAGCCCGGCCCCCATCATTATTTCTTATTTTGTATGTTTGTGCTTTCTCTCTTTCTTCCTTGATTAAATTAGCTAGTTCTATTTTTTTTTTCCCCACCAGAGAACCAGGATTTTAACGTATTCATCTGATTTACCGTTAGTCTGTTTTCTACTCAGTTTCTACTTTCATTTTTATTATTTCCTTCTTTTTGTTTTCTCATGGTTTACATTGTTCATTTTCTAGTTTTTGGGAGTTTGAAATGCACTTATTTTCATTCTTAAATTTTTATTGATATAGGTCTTTAAAGTTAGGAATTTTTCTCTGGTTACTACTTTAAATATATCCCATTGTTTTATCATTATTTTTCAGAAATTCTCTATTTTTGATTTGAATTTCCCCTTTCATTAAATAGTTGTTTAACAGAAAGCTTTTTAGTTTACAGAAAAAAAAAGAGATAAAAAATTTTTTGTTTAGAAATTTCTAGCTTTATTGCATTGTGGTCAGAAAGTGTTTATATTTTTGCTTTATAAAACTTATTTTTAAAATTTTATGAATTTGACTATTGTGTGACCTAATGAATGATCAGTTTTTTTGGACATTTCATGTGTGTTTGAGAATGTATTTTCTGTTTCCAGATTGTAATGTTAAATGTCCGTAAGACCTGTCTTACTGCTTGTGTTGTTTAGGTCATTTATATTTTAAATTTTGTCCATTTGACCTATCTTTAACTGACAGTGGTTTGGTAAAGTCTTCTGTTAGTGTTAAATTTTGTCCATTTGACCTATCTTTAACTGACAGTGGTATGGTAAAGTCTTCTGTTAGTGGTATGTTTCTGTTTCTCTTGCATCTCCTGTAATTTCTGTTTTGTGTAGGTGGTTGATGTATTATTTGGTGCTTAGGTGTTTAAAACTTACAATTTTTATGGAGTGACATAGTTCATTTACAGAATGGCTTCTGGGTAGTGTATCTTGCTTAGGGAGGCCTTGTGTGTCTG